GGCTCCGGGACCCTGCCCTGGCTCCGCCGGCCCTCCCCTCACCTCCCAGGGCAGGGCAGCGCTGCCAGGTGCTCACCACAGCCTGCCCAGCAGGTGACACCTGAACCTGCACTGGTAAGGTGGATGTGTGTGCTCCCTGACCATGGCAGGAGGATGGAACTGGACGATATTTAAGGTGTCTTCCAACCCAAAGCATTTCTGTGACTTTGGAAGTTCAAATGTTAAAATGCACGGGCACCATCCATCAAGCACTCTGCACCAATTTCAAAAGTTGAGCTTGAGCCAAGCAACAACTAAGTCTTGAAAATTCCAGAGGTGATTAAGAAGTTGCACATAATTTAGCAGTTTAATTTCTTCTCAGTTCCAGATCTTGTAAGGTAAAGGTAAAACTTTCAAAGCTCAGGTTTTTTTCACAGAAAAAAAGTCAGCACCTTCTCTGCTTCTGCTCTCTCCCAAATCTCCTGTGCCTGCTGTGCAAACACACTGCTCTCCCATCCAACAACGCTTTATTCCCACTTGGCATTTTTCATCTCACAGTACAATGTGGTGCTATTGGAAGATTTCCTGCAGATCAAATGGACAGACCTGCATAAAAATGTCAGGTGCTCTGAATTGGGGAGCACAGCTCTAAGGGGCCAAAGCAGCATGTTTTCAATCATAACCTCTGCTCACAAAGTTCCATAAGACAAATAATGGCAGACAACCTGCATTAAGAACAGAATAATGACCTTCAGAAGTTTCCCTACCAACACTGCCTTTTGAAACACAAAGAACATTACTAAAATTATATCTCCAAGTCACAAGAACTTTGGGACACGGAGAGAAGGAATAAAAAGATACAAATACATGTGAAACAGCACAAAATAATTTGGCCCCAAAAGCAAATAAGAACAAAAAGCCAGCACCCAAATGATAAAGCACATCACACCTTACCTGCTCAGAACCACAGCACATCCGTGTGCCTAAGTCCTGATGTCACCCAGGCATTAGGGGTAAGAACTTTCAGAAACTTCCCCTGCCTGCTGTGACAGCTCTCCTTCCTCGGTTTCTCTCGGATTACCATAAAAGTGCGCTGGGAACACAAAGACAACTCTGGCAAGTGTCTCACTCCACCCCACCTGCTCTGAGCTTCACATAGGGTTTGTTGGCACGTCTGGCTCTGGAAACGCTCCCGGACGTCCCATCCCCCCAGCACTACATTCTGCTTGTTTCTGCAAAGCCACCGAAGCCCCGGGTGACAGTGACAAGTCAGCAGGTCTCTGCAGAGGGTCCTGAACTACGACCATTGCTGGCTGAGAGCACAGCCACTGCTGGAGTCACAAAACAGATCCACTTACATTTCCACTTTCAAATTTTACTCGAACAGTGCATTTTTAAAGTCAGATATTTCTTTTTTTCTCCAAACACCCTCCAAGGAAATTCAGGAGTTTGACATTATACATAGACCCAGTGCCATTATCATTTGCACTACACACACACTAAAAAAAAAAAAAAAAAAAAAAAAAAAAAAAAAAAAAAAAAAAAAAAAAAAAAAAAAAAAAAAAAAAAAAAAAAAAAAAAAAAAAATCCCAAAACAAAGAAAATAAAACAGCAACCAAAATATACAAGAGAGCAGCTCGGCACTACTTTAGAAGAAAACATGCAAAAATAAACCCGCTGGGAGCTTCCTTTATGGAGAGCAGATAATCAGATAGAGCAGCCGAGCTCATCATCTGAACCCCCAACTCGCCCAGTCCCCGGGGGCTGGCACGAGCAGAGCACTCATCAAATTACAGAGATCTGTCACCCTAAACCCTGGCTATCAAGTGACAGGGGATGCACAGAAACATCTGCGAAGCTGCACAAGGGCACAGGGAAGCAGAGCATCTGCAGCATCCTCCGGCCAGGGCTGGCCGGGCGCCGGGGCTCCCGGTACCGGGGCTCTCGGGACCGAGCCGGCCGGGCTCCACGGCTCCCGGTACCGCGGCTCCCGGACCGGGCCGGCCGGGCGCCGGGGCTCCCGGTACCGGGGCTCTCGGGACCGGGCCGGCCGAGGCTCCGCGGCTCCCGGTACCGGGGCTCCCGGACCGAGCCGGCCGGGCTCCGCGGCTCCCGGTACCGGGGCTCCCGGACCGGGCCGGCCGGGCTCCGCGGCTCCCGGTACCGCGGCTCCCGGACCGGGCCGGCCGGGCTCCGCGGCTCCCGGTACCGCGGCTCCCGGACCGGGCCGGCCGGGCGCCGGGGCTCTCCAGCATCCGGGCTGCCGCGGCGCCCGGGGCTGGGCACCGCCTCCGGGCAGCCGCAGCCCCGTGTGCCAGCATGCCAGCGCAGCAGAAGAAGCTGATCTTCTGCACCGCCGGGGTGCTGAGCCTGGCCTGCGCGCTGGGGACGGCGGCGGCCGTGGGCACCCAGCTCTGGGTGAGGGGCTCGATCCTCTGCAGCACCGGAGCGCTGCTCGTCAACGCCAGCGGCCCGGAGCTGCACAAGTTCCTCGGCCACATCCAGTACGGGCTCTTCGGCGGGCAGCGCGTGCGGCAGTGCGGGCTCGGGGGGAGACCCCTCCAGTTCTCATGTGAGTACCCGCGGCCTTTGAGCTGCCTGCACCCCGCTGCTGCCGGCGGGACAGGGCTGCCCCTCGCTCGGACACCGAGCCCCGCAGCGAGGCAGCGCTGCCCTTCGCGTGCTCTGACCCTCAGGGTCAGTAACTCATTTGGTGACGCCGATACAGCCGGGCTAATGCTTTCAAATTACTGCACCTACACAGATAGCCACGTTCCAAGAGAGTTATAGTATTTCTTTAAGAAGAATATTTGAGGGGCTTATTTAATATTGAGGGGCTTAATTAATCTCTGTCATCTTCCTCTGTGTGCCAGCATTACAACATTACCTCTATGCTGTCAAGAGGAATGAACTAAACCAGCAAGAACCTCAGGAAAGAGCTGGGGCACTGGCTGCTATTGAGAAACAAAGCAGCCCAAAAGTTTGCAATCTGTGGCACCCACTGGAAGAAAGACTGGGGGAGGCTGTCTGGGAAATGCTAGCTGCCTTGGTATCTGACACATAGAATGTCAAAGTATCCTTTTGCATTCATAACCTATTAATCTCCAAGGATAAGAAGATCAATTAAAAAATTGTGAAGTGAGACATATTTGTATGCAGCAGCAGGCAGAACAGGCAGTAAAAGCCAGATGTTGTGTGTACAGTACCTCCCCTGAAGTTACTACAGCGCACACATCAAAATCTTTCTGCTACAGCAGCACACACAAATTGTTCACACCATGACTTAATGCAAGGGAAGGTTGCCAGACTAGGTACCAGAAATTATTTCCTATATAACATTTCCCAAAAATAGTAAATCTAACTAATTTGATATAGTATTAGTATTTGCTGTCTCTAAATTCCATCACCAGTCTGTTTATACTGCTGAAGTCCCTGTTGATTGCTCTGTGTGCCATCCCAGTGTGTAGTCATTGCACCGGGGCTGTGTTTTCAGAGAGGTCTGTGCAATCCCAGGGATTTTGTTTACTGCTGTAGGTGAGAGTTATGACCCAGGCTGGTCCTGCTGCCGGCAGCTCTGGGACTGACACTCAGGTTCAGTCAGTGACAGCTGTGAGAGGTCAGGAGCACTCACCTCAGGGAGCACTGAGAACAAGGTGCTGATCCTGTTCCCTGGGGCTGTAGCAGCCCCCTCCCAACACCTCAGTACCTTGGAAGATCACCGGGAACATTCCAGAAAGCAGGACATACTTATAAAATACACAGCCATAGCTTCATGCACTCACTGTACTTTAGCATGTCTGAGGAGAACAGACACGGAAAATAGGCTAAATGATTTAGTTCTGTGCTTGTTCCCATTAAGTGCTCCCCTCTGACCACTATATCTCTTTTAATTGTAATATGAATTTGCTCTGCCAGCAAATCCAGTTCAGCTGGGGAAAACTTCTGCTCCATTTGTTCCCACTCATTCCCATCAGTTTCTAGGTCAGTGGTTCATTTTCTAAAGGTCTTTGCCATGCGCAGCACACATGGGTTTATTCAGGACCATGAAGGAATGTTTCACTTTCAAGACAACGTTGCTTCTGGAATTATTTTTTCCAGATACATCACATATAAAATGTTAATGACAGAAGCAGCTATAGATACAGGTGACCAGGGGAGGATTCAATACCATGCCATACCTTGTTTTCTTAAACCATACAAAATTGTATTATTAAATACACAGTTTGCATGTTTTCCCAAAGCATCAGATGGTGTCACAGGAACTAATGTGACTAAGTCCTTGTAGGACTCCTGCAGAGGGAAGCTCTGGAAGGGGCTCTGAGGTCTCCCTGGAGCCTTCCCTTCCCCAGGCTGGACACCCCCAGCTCTCCCAGCCTGGCTCCGTGGCCCCCTCTGGACTCACTCAGCAGCTCCACGTTGTTTGGATATTGGGGTGCCCAGGGCTGGGGGCAGCCCTGGAGAGGGAGCCCCAGCTGAGCAGGCAGAGAGGCAGAATCGCCCCATCCCTGCTGTTCACACTGTGGATCAGCCCAGGGCAGGGCAGGTTCTGGGTGCCAGAGCACGAGGAGCTTCTCACCCTCCAGCAGCCCATCCTCCTCCCCAGGCAGCTCCCAGCCATTCCCCAGCAGCCTGGGTTGTGCTGGGATTGCCCTGGCCCGCATGCAGCACCTTGCACTTGGCCTTGTTGAACTTCCTGGGTTCTGCAGACACTCGTTTCATTAATTTCCCTTTCATTTAGTCAGAGAGATAAATGGACTTGACACCCCATCACCTGCTGCTCTGTGCCTCTGCATGGAGCTGCAGAGCAGTTTGTTAGTACAGACTTTACAAGGAGGAGTAATTGATGCGAGTCTGGTTTACTCTCCACACATTACAGCCACAGCAAAGCTGCACCAGGCATTATCACCTCGCTTTGCTCATGCCCCCATAGATCAGGAACAGTGAAGTGTATTTCATTTTTAAAAATCATTCTCTTGCTCTCTGAATGACTATCTCTGTGTCCTAGACAAACAGGACCACAATTTGAAACAGTAGTTTAAAAGCTGCATAAAAATATTTAGAATAAATTATTCCTGAATTTGTGCATCACAATCACAGCATAATTTCATTTCCCACGTCACAGCCCTTTGTGAGGCCTCATGAACATGAATTTAAAAAGTCTAAAGAAAGCTTTATTGTCCCATTCCTAGACAAGAGTGGATGGCCAAACCTTCAGCCAAGGGAGATCAGCCCCATAACACTGGCACTGGAAGAGACCTCGGTGACACCTTGTGCCAGGCCTGTCTCCTCAAATACAGCTTCCTGTTTTTTCCCCAAAAGATGCTGTTCACATTAAGGCCCAATTAGCACCCTCAGGAAGGGGAGGAGAGGCTAGTATCTCTCCCTCCTGGCCAGCCTATTCTTCCAAGTTTCACAGAACTTTTATGCCTCCAAACATCCATTAAAAAAACATTTCTAGAGAATTATTTCATCTGGTTGCATTTAGAAGAGCAGGATCAAAACAATTATCACAAACGAGCAGCAACCCCTGCCCTGACATCAGAGACAACTTTGCCTAATGTGTAGAATAATGTTGTGTTTGTTTTGTTTCCAGTTTTCCCAGATTTGCTCAGAATTATCCCTGCGAGTATCCATGTTAGTGTCATTCTCTTCTGTACAGTACTGATTGTCTTTGCCCTGGTGGGAGCAGGGTTCTTCATGTTCAATGCCTTTGGCAGCCCCTACGAGACTCTGCACGGCCCCCTCGGGCTGTACCTGTGGAGCTTCATCTCCTGTGAGTACCCCTGGGCTGGGCTGAGGCTGGCACTGCTCAGGCTCCCCCGCTTCTCAGCAGAGGAGAGTGGGTTAAACTCTGGCTGCACTGGCTCTAAATTGGCAAAAGCAAGCCAGGCAGGAAAGCGTGTGAGTCTGCCACATCAAACATGTGAAATCATGTGTTTTCTAAATTGAAGTTGAGAGATGGACTGGGGAAATCCTGCACGAGGGTGGGTGGCAGGATGGGAATGGGCAAGCAGCAGGAAACCATGACAGAAGGGCCCCAGGAACCCAGAGCTGGGGTGGCATCACTGGCACCCCACACACAGTCAGAACCAGGGACCACACCAAAGTAGGAAAAGCTGGGGAAAACAACCAAACTATGCCAGTGATGCAGCTGGTTCCAGCCAATGTGAGCGAGGTCACCACCTAGAGCAGCACAGCCTTGCCAAGGACAGGAGAGCTGAGCAGCAGAGGCCAGCAGCAGCTCATGGTCTCTGAGAAGAAGCACTGCTGTGCAGGGATAACAGCCACACAGCTCTTCCCTGGGCTGCTGGCTTGGCTGACAGGCAGATTTACCCTAACTTTACAAGGTATTACACATTACAACCATAATTTAACAAAGGACTTCAGTACATGTTTATGGTCAGGCACACAGAGTGCTCTGTTATGCTCAATGGGAAAAGGCAACCTAAAGCTGAACATGAACACAGATAATTCAGTGGCTCAGGGCACTAAAGCAGCCACGCTGAATATTCCTGGTCCTGAGCCAAATTCAATTAGAAAAGCTCACCCATTTCAATAGCCATTGGCTTGGATTCCAGAAATAATCCCTGTTAAATCTATATGGCTATACAAACATTCTCCATGTGGTATTTGGCTGCAGCATACATCATGCAGCACAGCTGAGGGATTGCTGAAATGATGAGCCTCTCCCCCTCCCTTTCAGGTTCCTGTGGTTGCCTCATCATGATTCTCTTCTCCTCAGAGGTGAAGATCCACCACCTTTCAGAGAAAATTGCTAATTTCAAAGAGGGAACTTTTACATTCAAGACTCACAGTGAACAGTTTGCAAATTCCTTCTGGACCATCCTGGTCTGCTCCCTGGTGCACTTCCTCAATGCTCTGCTAATCCGATTTGCTGGATTTGAATTTCCCTTTTCAAAACCAAAAGATTCAGGGACAGTCACAGGAGCGGTTGACCTGATGTATTAAAATGATGGGATTTAAGCACATTTCAAGCAAAGAAATTTGTCTCTATTACATCAACAACCACCATATGAACTAACTTGTGAATGATTGCTCTAGGGAAGGTAAAAAAGGGGAAGTTTCAAATAAGTGTTAATATGGTGCAAGCAGTGAACAAAAGATGTGCTGTATGGTAATGTCTGTATGGAAAAGTCCTTTTTCTTGGGGTAAGGTCTTATCAAGGCATTTTTTCCTGTAAACTGTTAAAAAAGTGGCTGGTATGAAGAAAAATAGAAATCTCAGCAGTGTTGCTCTGAATCTGGAAAGTCCAGTCAATGGGTTGCAGTAGAAGCACACACTCACCAGCAGCAGCTCTGCCCTTCAGCCCTGGAGAAGGCCAGGATGCAGACACGACCACGTCAGGGCAGCAGGGCCCAAGGACACCCAGCAAGGGACAGGACAACACTCAGGCTCTGCCCCAACACCCCTCAAACTCCAGCCCAAGTGCAGTGCTCAGAGGGCACAACCCGGACACCTGCACTTTGATCTGGCTTCACATGTATGGCAACAGCATCACTTCTCTTCATGAAACTTCCTGGGTTTTTTCCTTTTAACAAACCAGACTGCTCCAAACCCAAAGTCCTGGGAGCTCTTGTTTCCCCAGCAGATGCTGCAGCTTGGTGACAAAGCTGACGCAACACAGCAGATGCAGGGGAGATGCCACATGCTCCTGCTTGCCTGAGGGAAGCAGCCAGGCTTGGCAGTACTGAACAAACCCTCTGCAGCTCACCAGGCAAAGGGCATTTCCCAGGGCAGAGCCACAGGAGCAAGCCCAGGTACCTCCACCTTCTACTGCCCTCTCCAGAGAATGGCCCTGCAAGGTCTCATCAAACAATACCAATAAACCCCGTCAGAACCCCGGTGAAGGGCAGCAATAGCACAGCAGACAGGCTCCTTCCTGTGCAGGCTGCAGCTCAGCAGGGGCTGAGGAACAAACACAGCAGGGTCTGGCACAGAACAGATGGACACCTCAGCCCTCACCCCTGGACGTGCCCAAGTCAGCTAAAGCAAGAGATGCTTCCCCAGGCAGAGCACGATCCCACCAAGCACTGCCTCCACGGGCTTACCTGGGTGCCTTGGAGATGAGCAGCTCCTCGCAGGACACAGAAACAGCCCTCAGAGCAAACATGGGTGGGGAGCCCCCGCCCCCTTTGTCTGCAGGGCTGTGCCCAGCTGTGGGTGAGGAGCAATCCCTGCCAGCATCCACTCAGTGCCCGGGTACAGGCCACACCCAGGTACCAGGTATCACAGCCCTCTGTGCTCCAGGATCTACCAGCCCACAAGGTCTTACTGACTTTGATGTAATTTTTGTACTTTTACTGTGAAAGGAAAAACACTGCCAGGTTGTTGCAAAGGTTTGTCAGCTGTATCCTTTCCCAAAGTAGCTCTGCCTCCACATCTCCCTGGATTTTATGAATGTGGAATGGCCTCTGCAAGTCAGCACAACCCCCAGCTTTTTTCATCGTTTTCTTCATGATCTGTATGCATATTCTTTCTAATGTTAATGTATGTTCTTAAAACATAATTTGTATTGCGTCTCATGGTATTGTTTACTACACAGCAGACCCAAACACATTCCTTTACTGTGCAGAAAAGAGCAGCCCCAGTCTGGGGTCTGGGAATCCTCACAGAGGTCACTCTGCCCAAATCCTGGCCTGACCACCCCCACATCCCACCCTGCAGCCCAGCTATTCCTAAGGCAAACAATAACTTCTTACCAGCAAAATAAAATTAAGACAGTGTTTGTGGGTTTGATGGGCTGGAAGAGCAGGTGTGGTCTGCCCAGTGCAAATTGTGAGGAAACCCTAGCATGGACACTGAGGGAACGGCAGGAGGGACCCCTGGGGAGCCCCAGCATGGACCCTGGACCCCCTTGCATTCATTAAAATGCCCCGTACTGGAAAATGCCCCCGCTCCCGCCCCGCTTTGGCAAACACCCTCGTTCCTGCTCCACGCTGGAAAATGCCCCTGCTCCTGCCCCACGCCCCACCACCCGCAGTGCCCCCCGAGCAGCCACCGCTGCCGCCGTGCCCCCGCTCCTGCGGCATTAAACATTGATGCTGCCGGCCCGGCGAGCGGAGCAGCTGATCCCGGCTCTCCCGGCAGCTCCACCGCGGTGCGACGGGGGCTGCCCGCAAGCCCCGGGGCCTCCGAGCAGCGAGGCTCGGAGCAGCGAGGGTCGGAGCAGCGAGGTTCGGAGCAGCGAGGCTCGGAGCAGCGAGGGTCGGAGCAGCCAGGCTCGGAGCAGCGAGGTTCGGAGCAGCGAGGCTCGGAGCAGCCAGGCTCGGAGCAGCCAGGCTCGGAGCAGCGAGGCTCGGAGCAGCGAGGGTCGGAGCAGCGAGGGTCGGAGCAGCGAGGTTCGGAGCAGCGAGGGTCGGAGCAGCCCCCGGCCCGCGGGTGATCGCCATGGGTGACCGGGGGGCTGGGCACACTGCGCTGGAGGAAATCGCCAGCAGAATCTCTGACCTCAGCAAATGGAGAGAAATCTTTAGCTTCCGTGGGTAAGATTTTTATTCTGCTTCTTTAACACAGTTTTAATTCCAGGTGGTTATTTAATGTAATTTTTCAAGTTATGTTTTATTACAAAACTTACGTGAAAATGATAAAAGGTCCTCGTACTCAGTAATATAAATGCTACAGGTCTTACTCTTCCTTTGTTCTGGGCATCCCTTCTGGCTGGGCTCCAGTTTCTCCACATGCCAGTAATAGCTCTGTTGGGTTTTTTCATTTGTACTTTATTTTATGTTTTCAGCTTGGAAATCAGCAGCACAACTCATCAGGTAACTCCTTTTCCAAAGGTAATGTTTTCTGTTTGTCTGGTGAGTTTTGGGCTGTCCTTAGTTGGCACACTGAGAGGCTCACACATCCATACCTGCAGGCCAGGTATCTATGGAGACTCATTTCTCATGCTGCTTCTTTGAGAAACAGACTTCAGGTATTTTGAAGTCAAAAGGGCAGAGCAGTCCTACACTTGATTAACCTTTCCATCAAAAACGAATGGTTTTCATGATGAGTTTTAGAAAACAAACTAAGATCTCTAAAATGTGTTTGGAAAGCCTGCTGTGCCCTTAGGTCAGGAGACGCTGAAGGGTATTCCCTGTAATTCAGACAAACACAGCACGACCACCTGCTCCAGTCATCAGCTCGTAGGGGTGTGTTGGGAATGTCTGAAAACAGCTGGAAGTCAAGAGCACCCACGTTCCAGGGCAGCAGGGTAGTGTCCCCCAGCGCCCTGCCAGCCCAGGCGCTGTGCCCACCCTGGGAGCCCTGGGGCACGTTCGGTGGTGGAGCAGCAGCCCCGGGTGATGATGCACTGTCTGCTCCTCTCCCTGCAGCAAGGACGGAGCAGTGCTGCCCATGGATCACCCGAAGCCAGGGAGCCCCCGGGGTCACAGCCCCCCTCCTCTGTCCCCCAGCCCCTCCTGCTCCCTCAGGGCGTGGGCGGCCGCCCCATCCCCCCGGACACGGCAATGGTGAGCTGCCTGCTGAATTAAGTATGAGCTGTAATGGAATCTCCTGAACGGAAAGAGACTGGGGAGCCTTTCCTGCTGCTCTGACTGCAGGCTTCAGCCTGCTGTCCGCTGAACGGGGTGTGGAACGGGGATGGATTATTTAGGATTATTTAACAAACATGGCTGGAATGCAACCTTAAAGCTGATACACAATAATTCTCAGGAGAGAACCAGTCAAATGACAACAGGCAATGTTTCCCTGCACTTGGGGGCTTCCCTGACAAACAGCCTCAGGAAAATTGTTTGGCTTGGAAAGGGCCTTTAACATCATCAGTGAGGGATTTCAGCTCCTACTGAGTGCCTGGCCCCAAAAGCACTGCTGCCAGGTGCTGTTGTCCAGCAGCTTGGCAGATCTGTGGGCAATGGCAGGATGGGCCCCGGTGCAATGTTCCCCAAAATGTGCATCGTACCCAGATGTAAGTTATTACACACCTAGAACCAAGCTTCACCAGAGTGGCTGAGTGCTGTGTGAAGTCCCTGCAGAGCTCAAACATCACCTTTGCTCTGAAGCTCTGAGGCCTGGCTCTGGGCAGACGGTGTGCTCCGGCTGAGGGCGCGCAGCACCTGTGCCCCGAGAGCCCTGATGTGACAGCCCTCGTGCTGGGACACGGCTCTGACCCTGGCCCCTCTGCCTCCTGCTCCACAGAGGCTGCAGAAGCTGCTCTTCAGGAGCACGGCCCCCCTCTTCAGCGGCGAGTGGGCAGCAGCACACTTCAGGTTCCACCCGCCGCACTCCGACCTGGCCTACGCACTGCAGGCAGGAAAGGTAAGAGTGTCCCACAGCGCCTGGCACCTGCTGCCTGCTGCCACAGACACCTGTGGGAGCTGGCAGCCGGGGCAGGGGCCTTGGCAGCGCACACACCTGTACCCTGCACACCTGTACCCTATACACCTGTACCCTGCACACCTGTACCCCGCACATCTGTACCCTGCACACCTGTACCGCACACACCTGCTCAGGAGAGACACAGCAGGTTGCAAAAAGCCTGTATCTTTTCTGAGAATTAGACTTACCTAATTATTCCTGCTCCACCTAGACATCCAACAAGTGAAGTCACCTAGGCTATAATTTTCTGAGCTGGAGGTTTTCTTCTTCCTTATTTGCCATCACAACATTGCACCCAAGAAAGCAGAAGGCCAAGATACACACTCGAATTATCAATCCCCCCGCCTTGTCCGGAGGCTGAAACGCTGGGTACAGCCACTCCCGCATTCCAAGCTCCGTGCTCACAGAGGGAGCACTGCCCTGGTGGGTGTCAGCACGGTGGGGAGCGGGCACTGGCACTCCTGTGCTCAGCCTCACATGAGCTCTGGGCTGCCTCAGCACCTTTGCTGCGAGGCTGGAGGGGACAAAAAACAAGCCATGGAGCTTCCCTGCACAGAGGGTGCCTGGAGCTGGGTGCTATTCCTTGGGACAGAGGAAGGACGGGCACCCACCCACAGGGTCCCTACTGCCCCCAGCACATGGCCAGGGCTACTCTGCTGCTCTTCTCTGTAGGGGTTTCTTGTGGTCCCCCTGGCCAGGGACTGCTGGGAGTGACAAGTGCTTGTTCAGGCTCCTCAGACGGCTGGAGCTGTTTTCCTGTTCCTAGGGAGGAACAAGACCCATTCTGGCAGCTGTACAAGCACACATCATCACATACCTGCTCTTCACAAGAGAGACAGAATGTACTCACCTGGAAAGGTAAGTTGCTAGGTCTCATGGGACACATGAAAATTATTTCCATGCATTGTTTGGTCAGTGACAGCCTCTGGGTTCAGGCAAACCAGATCCAGGTTCAGCTGTACAGATACAGGTGAGGATATGCACTGAGAGAGAAGCCTTGGCTGAGCCCCTGGCAAGGCTTCTTCCCACTAAATCCTCTGATTTTGGGACAGTGGCATGTGCCCCCCACCTCTGTGGTGTCATGGTCACAGTCCCTGGTTTCCCCCTGGCACAGGCTGTGCCGGGTCGGGCGGTGGGAGCAGGGGCAGGCACTGGCCACAGCCCTGGCAGAGACCCTGTGGGCAGCAGGAGGAGGTGGCAGAGCTGTTGTGTGCCTCGTCACTGCCCCTATCACCACGATGCCACGTGAAAGCTACAGAGTCAACAGCTTCACAGAGAGAGTGAGTAATGAACTGTCTTCTGCCAATGGGATTTTCCTTACAGATACTTTTGGCCTGAAACATAGAATCTCCTACACCTGCTCCCCCACTTATGTTGCATTACATACAGGGATCACCCCAGACCCAGGTCTTGCTGCAGCCTGTGATACATCCACCTCCCCTCACCAAAGCCCATCTTCCTTCTCCTGCAAAGAGGAGAGTCCTGTCAACACAAAGCTGCTGCCCTGAATCCCTGCACAGAGCCAGAGCCCACAGCTGGGGAAGGGACAGAGCAAATCTTTGCATTGTTCTTTCACTTGACTAATGGAACCATAGGATTCAAAATCTCAGCTTTTTGGTATAATTCATGTCTCCTTTACACCACCCTCACGGTGCCCATGCCCAACAGATCCGGCTGTTCAAGTTCTCGGAGAAAGCTGCTGCTCAGGGGTTCATCTCTGATCACATAAACAGTGTAAGTGGGGATAACTGCTTTATCCAGGTTATTTTCTTGCTAAATTACATCTTATTTCCCATTCCAATTGGGCATTTTGGGCACAGGAGTGTTAACATCATCAGGACATTCACACAGTTAATGTACAGTTAGTGCATGGATAATTTCCAGCCTTTCCTATGGGAAGGGATTCTGCTCCCATATAAACCCCTGTGACTTAAGCCATTATTCCAGCTCTCTCAGCCCATAAACACTGGGTAAACAGGACAGCATTTTGTACATCATTCAAGGATGTGATTCCTTGCAGCCTCAGCAAAAATATGGGAAAAATTGTACAAAACCCATTTAGCTAGTAACTGGAAGTTTCTTTCTTTTTTCACCTGATCCTATTCTACAAAATTAGTTACAAATCCTCCTGGAATAGCACCTTACTCATCTAACTCAACACGCACACCTAGGGCTGTATTTAAGCAGAAGAATTGTTTT